GTTTAGTACTAGTACCTAATACTAGTACAACAAAAACTACAAACACCACTACTACTGCTACTGCTTCTACTTGTACTTCTTCTACTAGTACTACTACTACCACTACCACTACCACTGCTACTACTACTACTACCACCACCACCACGACTACTACTACTGCTGCTGCTGCTGCTGCTGCTGCTGCTACCGCTACTACCTACTACATGCTACCTACTACTACTACTACTACTACTGCTGCTACTGCTGCTACTACTACTACTACTATACTACTACTACCACCCTACTACTACCTACTACTGCCTACTACTACCTACACTACCACTACCACTACTACTACTACTACTACTACTACCACCACCACTACTCCTACTACTACTACTACTACCACTACTACTACTACTACTCCTACTACTACTACTACTACTACTACTACTGCTCCTCGTGCTATTATCTGTTGTTTACCCAGATTTCGCTTGTATTTCTCTCTGAAGCCCCTAAGCCCCAAAAGCTCTGGCAGGGCAAGACTACTACTTCATTGCACGCGCCGTGGCCATCTCCGGCAAGGGCGAATTCTCGAAGGCCGCGAGCGGTTTCACCCAGGAACAAGCCCACGGCCCCAAGCTCCTTCGGGGTTTATGGAAAGATCTGCATGTGCATTGTTGGAGCTTCGGGGCGCTTCTTCGTTAGAGGCTGCTGACATGATAGTCGTAGATGCACTTCTACGGCTTTGGGTAGGGAGCTGGGTTTGCTACAAGTTGAGGCCTATCCATTATGTCATTATCAGCAGGTGCAGGCAAAATGCTCCAGACTGATCACACAGGCGATTGCTTAGCTAAGCAAGATCACAAGAGGAGTCTATTTTCCTGCAGCGGAGACTCCGGGTTTGTTGCTGACCAGATGTGCGAATGGCAGGTACTCGGGCCTTGCCGCACAGCACCGGAAGCACCGCAGGTAGCAGAGCGCATGCAGGCACGGGCTCAGAGTTGCGAGTTTCAATGTACCCTCAATAGCCAGATCCCCAGTCTGATCCTCATTACAAGGACCCCAGAAAAAGGGATCCCCTGGACTTTTCTCTCAGAAAACCCGAATTCCACGCTGGCACCTCCAAAAGACACTTCGCCCTCGGCAGTCCAGTTCTGAAGCTCCTCGGGCCCCTCTCGACCGTTTCACCCTGGATCGTCCAAACCCTAGACTTCTAAACCCTGCTACACGGAACAGGGACGTTTCAAAGGGAGGCTTTAAAAAAACGCCGGTAGCAGGGAGGAATAGACAAGAGAATTCAAACAGAAGCTAAACCCTGAACCGGCACAGCTCGAAGCTTTGGTTTTGCGCAGGTTTGGCCTAGGCGGGATAGACCCTGCTGCAAGCTCAAGCCGCCAGCCTTGCGTCCCCAGCTTCGGAAGTGGGTCTTATCCGACCAGTCTGGGTGCAAGGGTATGAAGTCCTCCCGGAGCCCATCTTCAATGGTCTTGGCTGAACCCCGAAAGATGCCGTGGGGCTCCTGGGCTTTAGGCTTCGGGTTTTTAGGATCTCCTATGAATTTATGATCTATCCTAAACCCTAAACCCTAAACCCTAAACCTAATCTCTCGTGCACGATGACTGTAAGTTCACTCCGGCCTACACAAGCCAAGCCCGTGCCTCGCCTCGCCGCCAGCTCCAAACTTTGGACCACAGCTCCTGCTCAGCCTGTTTCAGGCCGAGGGTTTAGGGTTTAGGGTTTAGGGCGTAAGGAGAACTGAGCAGATCTGCTTCCTGAGTCTGTATTTGGAGAGTGGATCTTGGGAGGTAAGGACTGAAGAGTCGGGGATGCGTGTTCTGCTATGGAATTCCCCGACTTCCGGCAGGGCGCCGAAAAATTCAGACCTTAAACCCTATATCTGTAAGGGGACGGTTTCTAGAATCAGGTGCAAAGATGCCATATGTTCAGGGTTCTGATTCTGTAGTATGCTTGTTAGTTATTATTATTGTCGTTGTAGGCACTGCCAGTGGCTGGTGCGGCGATGGCGGTGGTGGGCGTGGCGGCGGTCGGCGCACCTCCATCCTCGTTGTGTGTTGTGTTGCTGCCCTTGGCTGAGTTTGCCAATTGTGCCAGTTGTTGCTATTGTCGTTACGGCAGCGTTGTTGATTTCCACGTGTTTCGTGTTTCACATATTGTCGAGCCGCTGGCGGGCTAACGATCCCTTGCATGGTCAGCATCTTCAGAAACACTATCGTGTTTGTGCTCGTTGTAGTTGTCATTACCAGAAGCATCACAATTATCCCTGTTCCGCATGTCATCATCGATATCGGTATATTGAGGGCATTTCGATCTGACAGGGAGAATGCATGGTACTTGGCCTACAGCACCACGCAGTGGATCCCGGCAACTAATAAGTGATCCTGTCTAGTCACTAGTCCTTACCCAACTTCAGTACAACCCGAGATGTTGTCCACTGACAACCGAACTCCAGCAATCATTGCCAGCAGCGAGAGTCTGCTTCAGAGTCTAGTCAGCGCCCATAGGCCACAGGCAACAACACTACAGAACATTAGAGGGCACGTGCAGCATCGGATCTTTCAACACCATGTCCCTGAGTCTCGCCAGAATTAGGAGCTTGTGTCAGGCTGCCTTTCGACTTTGGTGCTCCTATCGATGGGATCCATGCAGCTGGGGCCTCGGCTCTTCGTTTGAAAGCCGAACGGGACCATACAAGGGCCTCAATAACTATAAAAGGGTCGAATAGGGCTTGGGGGTATCTTATAGTAAGATGAATGGAGTGGATAGGTCCTTTGTACGAATGGGGGTGTTTGCACGTTGCTGGGTATGCCTTGTGCGTGAAACGGTTGAGAGACAGGGAGATGTGCGTGTCTGCTTGTGTGTTTGGTCTTGGTTTCTTTACATCCTAGCATTGTATTGCTATGTGTCGTTTTTCGTGTCTTGCACATCATTAAGCTTTACTGCAGCGTGAGAATGTTGGGCGAATGTCGTTGTCGGTGGGGTGGTGTTTGTCAGCCCTACTAACGGGAAGGAGTCTAAATCATGATCCATCGTTCGAGGTCGCAGACGTCCAGTCAAGGACCCCAGGGTTTGGATCTACCACTACTACTACTACTACCACCACCACCACCACCACCACCACTACTGCTACTGCTACCTCCAACCACGACCGTCGCAACTACCGCTGCTGCAGCCACCGCGCCCACCACCACAACCACCACGTCGGCGACGACGACGGCTACGCTTTGAACTCCTACTCCTGCTAGAAGTACTGGCTGTGTTTTATGCTACATAAGAGCGGCACCGTCTTGACGATCAGTGTTTCTCCATCCAGCAAGAATTCAAAGACTTGGCTTTGGCAGTCTCTGAAGCGCGTTGCCGGGCCTTTGAGCCTCGACGAGCTCGACGAGAACGGAGAGGCTCAGGCGGCGCACTAAAAGCCCTTGTTCTGCACCCTGTTTGGTAGTTTTTTAAATTAGGGTCCCTTCTACGGCCCTCTTTACAAGTGTGCCGTACTATATTGGGGACCTGAAATTGGACGCAAATTTGGAGAACTGCCCTGGTGTTGTAAGGGTACAAGGTTCACAGAGCGGTTCGTTATGGTTCGTTGTTGTGTTTGTTTACCGTTTTGCTTTTCGCTTCGTTTGTTGTTGTTACGAGGCACTTGTTTGAAGGCATCGGGGTCCAAAAGAGCGGTGGCTAAGCACAGGGACTTGGGCTGAGTTTTTGAGGTTCAGGTTTTAATGTCATTCTTTTTCATGGCAGCGCTGGTCAGCGACAGGTGTTTCCAGAAGTCATTTGCGAGTGAAAAGGTTGAAACTGGAAGCTTTTGGATTTGGGGCTCTATGCGCATTCTCACCATGACCCTCCGTTCTCGCTATAAGCTCGTCAGTCTAGGCTATATGGCCGGCTGTGAGAAGTAGATCTCCGCCAGCAGAAGCGGCAAAAGCGTGTCGCTTGACTGGTAAGGGGACAGGACGGCGATGACAAAGACCATGCCCGCTTGCGATGATGTTGTCGCAGTTGACGACGTTGATACACAACCGTGATGGCCGAGACAAACATCCTGTGACAAATGCGCGGGCATCATACCCGCCAAGAACATAGGCCCCACCTGCGGGGAGCAATACAGCTTTGTGATAGGAAGCAAGAACAACATACAGGGCTCCTGTTGCGTGGATGTTCGAACCTTATGCCAGTGCCATGGCCCTAGCTTGGACCTGACCCCGCCATTTACTGGAATTCCAGATTCTTGAATGTGTTCAGGCACATGTTGCAGGACAGGAGATTCGAGCCGGGCCCTCAGTGACCCCAGAGCATGCTTATGCAAGCATGAACTCAACAAGCCTAGCACAAAAATGTTTTAGGCTTAGGGTATGCGTTCATGTGTAACTGCTTTGCAGTGCAATGCGGGAAGGGGCACTGGCGCGGCATGTGTCGGTATGTAACAGCTTTTGCTTATGTTGGTTCTTGCCTGTTTCCTGTTGCGGGGTGCGCCGGGGTGGTCATGGGGAGGGAATTGGTTTCCGTGCTGGGCTTCTGTAGAGTTCTGTCACATGCAGCAAAGGCCATGATGCCGCATTCTGGGACAGCTCATCTAACTCGTAATATCAGAGGTTACTGGGCGTGGAATCTGGCGAGACGGAAGACGTTTATTTGGGCTCTGAAGCAGGGTCACTTCTACACTCTACACGGTCTGCCTGGCGTGCCTTCGCAACATGTCTAGCACCTAGGTTTACGAACTATTGAACCGCTGCCACACCAAGGACCCGAATATCTGAATCCCGAACCCGCTACGTACTTGCAAGCAACTCAGTAACTCATGCAACATCAAGGAGTCAACAGTCGGAAAAGTCAAAGTTAGCACCCGGACCGGTGCCATGGAGAAGCGTGTGCGGGTTCTTGGCCAAGCCGCCCTCTTGTGGCAGTGCGCCAACCCGGCCGGCCAAGTCGGACTTTCGGTGTTTTTTTCGTCTCTCTCTCTCTCTCTCTCTTTGTCTCCTCTTTCTGTTTCTCTCCCGAGCTCTCTACGTCTCTCTCTCTCTCTCTGTGGTTTCTGTTCCTAGACCCAAACCCCAACCCCGCAAACTGCAGGACAAGAGACATTGCAAGCATTTCACTCCATTCAGGTAGTTTTACTTCTGGTTTCAGAAGGCCACGGGCTGATGCAACACCACCACCAGCACGACGACGACAAGGACCACTACTAGCTACTACTGCTATACTGCCGCTGCTGGTGCTGCTGGTGCTGCTGGTGCTGTTGCTGCTGCTACTGATACTGCTACTGCTATCGCTACTGCTGCTACTGCTACTGCTACTGCTGATACTGCTGATGCTACAACTCTGCTATGCACTGCTGCTGTTGCTACCGCTACTGCTACTGCTGCTGATATGTTTGCTAATATGTTGCTGAAAGATCTCGCGCATGCATTGCAAGTCCCCCGACACGCCTGCTTGTAGATGCCACCCGAAGCACTTTAACGCCCTAAGGGCTTCAACCAGAATTCCCTGCGTTGACTCTAAACCCTAAATAAACACTAAATCCTAAACCCTAAAGCCCAGGAGTAATTTTGCTTCACCCGCACCCCCACATGGGCGGGGACATGAACAACCCCACCGTCGAGGCAGCGCTTCTCCAGTACTAGCTTGTGCACGCGCGTATGTATGTAGGTTATGTTATGGTAATGTTAGTTAGGTAATGCAATGCAATGCAATGCAATG